TCATTGGAATTTCTTCCCAAAGCATCCCTCTATTGGGTTCCTCCTCATTTTTCTTTTGTCTTCAAAGGCTGGACTCTAGAGTGATGGATTTAGGATTTGCTTTCAGGTATTTTGATAGCTGTTAGAGTGCTTAGAAGCAGTGTCAGTTCCCTCTCAAAGGCTTCTAGATAGGGGGAGAAAACAAATTTATCCATCATATTAGAACAATAGCTGATTGTCTCCCTTAGCTACAGGTGGGCACTACAGTACTGGAGACCAAGAGTTGAAGTCTTACATCTGAGCAGCACTTTCTGGTTAGGAACAAAATCATCAATGAGAAATAATTGTCTAAATAACTTTTTTTTGGTCTCTTTGAGACAGGGTCTCCCTGTAGCCCCAGGTGTCCTGGAACTCGCTATGTAGACCAGGCTGGCCTCGAACTCACGAAGATCTGCCTGCCTCTGCCTCCCAAGTGCTGGGATTAAAGGCGTGAGCCACCACACCCAGCTAAATAACTTTTTATATAGACTTAAGCCTAAAGTCTGGGAAGTGTAGTACCCTGAACTCTTAAAGAAATATACTGATGACTTTACTCTTTGGTTATACTTTCCTTTTGGGTGTTTAAGACCATACAGTTGGCCAAAATAAATCAATTTGATTTTACACTTAAGGTCATTTCAGGATCTGTTCCTCAGAGGTCACATGGGCTTGGGAGGAGCTCCTGGCTCCTTTATTTCACCAGTTCCATCTATGCAAAGATAAGTCAAAGGTCCTGCTCAACCATGTCTGGCTTCACTTGGAAGCATGAATGAGAGGTTTCCTATGAGTTGACCCTCCTCTTTGTAGACTGGACACTGGTTCTAGTCCATCTCTTGGGGTCTCCATGGCTTCCCTGAACAAGAGGACAGGTGACTCACCACAGACTTAGGATATTTTGAAAGATGTTTCATAATCCCCTGGAACTTAGTCGACCTTAGAGGGCAAGGGGCAAAAACTGTCCTTTAAGTCCCTCTGACCACATTCGTGTAGGCCTCAAACAATGGCTGTTAAACATCCAATAAGGTTAGTTCCACCAGTCTGGTACTTTTAATTATTTTGTGCTTAAATCTATCATGAAGATAAGGCTTGGGTAAAAAAATCAAATATTCTCAGATAAACTTTGACTGAATATATATTTTGTTCCTTAAACTAGTTGACTAAATTATGACCATAGACATTTTAAGATTATGTGTATATTATTTTGATGTCATCCTTTGTATATCATAACAAACCTAACCAGACCTTCATCACTTGCTTAGGCTTTCTCATTTTTTTCTATTTTAGAAAATATCTCCATTCCCATATCCTTTTAACATCTTTTACGTTCTTGTTTTCTTTTTTTTTAAATAATTGTGAGACACAATAGCATTAACAAATAAATTTTCCATCTGTTGTGAGACTTCTTTTACTGGGAATGCTAAGCAATGCTAGTGTCTAGCCAATGTTTGAATAAAGTTTTACTGGGGAACCAGTGAATTTACTAGGCTTACTTACTGAGATAACTGAGGAGTCGCTGAGGTGCATGTATGACCTGGGGGTATGGACACTGAAAAGCCTTTAACCAGCATGGGTCATGCTTTCTCTTCCTAGCCTTCCCCACATTGTATACTTTAGCCCTCCCCAAATCCAGGAGGCCATGTGTGATTAGGGTCAAATTCCATTCAAGTTGGCTGGGAAGAGTGGCTGTATAATGCAGTGAGGTCCAATGAACCTTCTTGGCCCTCCTTTAATGAATGAGCACAACTGTCAACAAGCTTAATTGTGACGATGTTTAGCAATTAGGCTCAGCTGAAGTCATGATGATGGTAGTTATTTCATGCAGAAGGGACTGATGTATAGCATCATCTTATTAAAAGGACCTGGAATTTAAAAGGATTTAGTGCTAGGATCCACATATAAGGGAGAACATACGTCGATTGTTTTTCTGAGTCTGTGTTACTTCACTTAGTATAACAGTTTCTAGATCCATCCAATTAACTACAAATTTCAGTATTTCATCTTTCTTTACTGCTGAATAGAACTCCGTTGTGTAAATATACCACATTTTTGTTAACCACTTGTGTCCCCTTTCATTTATCAATTGAAGGACACCTAGGTTGCGTCCATCTCTTAGCTATTGTGAAAAGAGCAGCAACAAACATGGTTGTACAAGTGTCTCTACAATAGGATGAGTCCTTTGGGTATATGCCAAGGAGTGGTATAACTGGGTCATGTGGTAGGTTCATTTTTAGTTTTTTAAGCGTTCTCAACACTGTTTTCCATAGAGGTTGCATGAGTTTGCAATCCCACATGCAGGGAATGAATGTTCCCCTTTCTCTGCATCCTTGCCAACATTTGGTATCATTTATTCTCTTGATACTAGCCAGTCTGATTGGGGTAAGGTGATATATTAGGGTGGTTTTAAGTCGCATTTCCCTAATTACTAACGATGTTGAGCACCTTTTGACATGTTTCTTAGTCATCTTTATTTCTTCATTTGAGAACTCTCTGTTTAGATCTTTAGCCCATCTTTTAATTGGATCATTTGGTTTCTCGATTCTTTGTTTTTTGAGTTCTTTAAATATTCTTGATGTTAAACCCCTGTCAGATGTGTCACTGGTGAAGATTTTTTCCAATTCTGTGGGTTTTCTGTGCAGTTTTTTGATTTGTTTCTTTTGCTGTACAGAAGCTTTTTAGTTTAAT